CCCCCCCCCCCCCCCCCCCCCCCCCCCCCCCCCCCCCCCCCCCCCCCCCTTCTCCTCCCCGGTCCACTATCCTCCCATTTTGCCGATGGTAAGCATGGGACATTTCATATTCCTGCGGATGGGCGGGAGAGCATAATTATGTGCCATAAGTAAGACATATGTCAAAATGTGCCTTACATTCACAAGAAATAAAAGACAGTGCAACGAACCACATCAAAGTAGCTGAACCTTTGATGAAGAACATCGGGATGAAGCCAATTCCACCAATGAAGATGATGCCGAATGCGAAGAAATGCACTGATGCAACGTGAGGGAAAGTCGCATCCTGGACTTCAAATAAGAGAAGCTCTTCATCTGATACTTCTGTACATGACAGTCTGCGGCTTTTGAAATTGTGTTGGATTCGTGAGATAGAGTCGGTCTGTAAAAGACAAAGCGCTAATTCCAAACCTCAGAGGGGGCTCGACATATTCGGGCCATGCATCTTCACGGCCTCAATATTAAGAGTGAATCCCAGGGAAGGGACGTCGCGATTCATGTGGCACTGTAGCACGGCAAAAACAGTTATATTTTGGTTCGCATAAAATTATGCAAATGCAACCCGGTCAGACAATGAAATTCAATATAGGATGAGTGTGGGGAATGTCGTCACTTTGAGCAACTTTTTCACTTCCATCTTGTCTGATGGTTTCTGTAATAGGGCTTTCTCTTTCACTTTAGGTCAAGTCATACCTCTATTATATACCTACTTGAACCGTACGTTTTGAGTGCCCTGGGCCTTTCCTTCCCGGGAGCCAGGGTCAAAGGCAAGGTTGGGTCGGATGTTGGGTATCTCATCACACTTGTTAGCAAAGCCGGCACCACTCTGTCGGGAATCTAAGCTCGCCTGAGTATCACTGTCGCTTACAATGGACTTCAAAATGAATGCAATACTACAATATACTGTATAGTGTGTATGAGAAGAACGGGAATTTGTAAAACAATAGTAATTTTGCACATTTTTGTTGGATTTCCTGAGTGCGCTTAGAGAAGACAGCCACTGCGAGAAAACTACAATAGCAAATAAGGCTGTTCCAAGCACATATCAATAACATTACTTTAACTATCTGAGAATGGATCGCTCCTTACTGTCATTCTTAAAGCGATAAGTTGACTCATTCTCTTCAAGGTTCAGGACTTGTTCGGGAAGAATAATTCTAAATGGATAGTGCTTGTGTATAGTGCTCGAAAAGGCAATGGGGAAGAGGAAGAATAGAGTCAGCAGATGCAGAGGCTAGTATTAGTAGCCCTGATACCGTCTCGGACGGTAGTTTATGGCTGGATTCTCTCTGCCAGGGAATTCGCGGATAACATGATTTACTTATACTGATCGCCATGGTTGCTTGTTGCACTGGCTGCTTCTTCTGCTCCCTTGGTTCCTTCCTTTTTCTGTTCCGACGGATTTTCCTTCCATTCTCTGCTCATTCAATACCCTGGGCCTTCAAGCCTAATGGAAATGCAATCCTACATATTCCTCTGAAAGAAGCAATGCGTTTATACTGCATGACAATTCCAGAATCCATCTAACATGGGCATGGAACAAACCCATCATCCTGGACACAGGAGTACCTCGCGAACACACAGAAATTATTCATGTGATCACTGGAGTTGTGGTTCCGGGTTCGCGATGTAAAATTTATGGCAGAAAATGGCTAGTGGGAAATTCATGATCGCGAGAAATTAGACTCATTTTTTTAAATATTTATTCGATATGGACCGACCTGCAGTGCATGAAAAGCGTTTCAGCTCCAAATTATCAGTGCTATCAAGAATACTTCGTGCAGTTAATTTAATCAGAGGAATTCAAGCTGTGAAAAAAAAGAGTTGGAGAAACATACAATAAACTCGCACCTCAAAAGAATGTTTTTTTTTTCCGGACTCCACGCTCACTTCATCGATGTACGGACAACTCCAGGTAGACTGTAATCACATGGTTGAATTTGAACAGGCGAATCTGGAGAGCATGGTTTTCGTATTCACTACCAATTTAGTTTGGGTTCAAACCATTCTTTTCTAAAATAAATTTTGAAAAATAAAAATTATTTTAGATGGTATTAGCAGATCCTTATGTAGTACTCTTGAAAGTACACGAAATCCACACTCCATTAAGTTTTATATAGCTCGTCATCCAAATTAAACATGAATTAGATTAGCTTAGACTGAATAAAAGGATGGGATATCGGTAGTGACTTCAGGAAAGAGAAGGAAAGAGAAGAGAAGGGGAAAAACTGTCTCAAATTGCGAGACAAACTCTGGAATCTCTCACATTTACTATTGACTGCTGGGCATGTACAGCGAGAATTTCACTCGGGGATCTGGCTATACTGTCGAGCATGGCTATTTCAAACTAGCATCTCCTATTACGCCATGAAATAATGTGCACTAATATTCGTATTAAAGCTGGGATAAATCCGATCTAATCTGAATTTCATTTCATTTCTATGCTACCTCTCACCTAGTCAACCTTTACGAAAATGTCCTGTGGGAATTGTATTGGAATGCATAGGAATCCTATAAGAACATATGGGAATCCTAAAGATTTCCTGTAAGACCCCTAGGGTTCCTTTAGGAAGCTCGCATTTCAATATGTAGTCCATGAGATTTCTTTAGGAATCCTACAGGATGCTATAGGTTTATTATAGTACCTATAGGAATCCTATAGGAATATATAGGAGTCTTTTAGGTTTTCTTTTGGAACCTGTAGGATTCCTATAGGGAAGCATGCATTCCTAAAGGGAGTCCATAAGATTCCTATTGAAATCGTATAGTACCCGTTAGGTTTTTCATTGAACCTATCATAGACGTAGGAACGTCCTCGAAAGTGGTGGAGAGAGGGCAAATGAGATAGGTCAGATCTGATATTCGGAAAATTTATTGTTAACACAAGCAGGATATAGAATTCATGGGAAACTAAAATTTAAATATTATTCTTTCCTCAGTTTTCTTTGCAAAAAATGTAATCAATGAATCTAATTCTGAGGAGTTGAAAATGTATCGATCTACATGCATCATTGCGACATGTGCCAGGCGCTGTTGTGTCGATGATGTCTCCATCAAATTCTTGAGCTGCCTCAATTCCGACAAAGGCCTCTCTGCTGATGGATACACAACATACGTAACACAAAACCGCGTCTTTCGCGGGCAAATATGAAATCCATGGCCAGATAATAAAAATGTACTTTGGATTGAATGCCCTGTCTCTTTTTCTAGGGAAATTATATATTTGCGGTTTAAAAGGGCCACTTTCACTAAAATGCACTGGC